CGCGACCGACCAATATCCGCAGTTGTCAAGTGTAAGTCGTGGGGGCGGCAGCTGCCCAATTGACCCGGACCCTCTGCATGCACGAGAGGAGAGGAGAGAAAGAGTTTAGTGCTGCACATACACGTGGCGCCAGGATCGGCAAAGGGATTGCGGAAGGGAGGGAAATCCAAAAACTCATGCATCCATGCAGATGGTCGACACCCAGAGTTCCCCTGAGTTGCGCCTGTAAGCGCCCACATAACTACTCATTCATCTATCTTGCACAATGAGACATTCAACATCCATAGGCTCTCGCAACACAGCATGCATACAACAGAATAACCATACTCTGGGACATTGCACACATCACACTTGGACAAAGCAGCAATGGAGATAAAAGCGATTCCTTCACTATTCAAAATTTCACACACCATTGGCCTCCCTGAGGCGCAGCCCCCGATCAATCCGAACTTCCACCAACCATAGCCACAACGTCCAGTCGCCGGTGGCATTCAATCTCCACCACTGCTCCGTCACTCCAACTGTCTTACCCCAAGTTTACTGCTAAGCCCATCTAAAGTCGTCACTCCGCCCGTCCTTGGGCTCGTCAAGCTTGTTCGACACCGCGGACTTCGTGCATAGCTCGCGCAGTATTGCAGCCGAGATCAAATGGAGGGAGAGGAAGGGACTGTGAGAATTTATAGCGCAGAAAACGGCGACGTGCTAGCGCGAGGTGCAAGTAGCCAGGGGTGTAAATGAGGATGATGGAAGAAATGTCGAGGTTCCTAAATGATCGAAAGAGGCGACTCGAAAGTTATGTGTGATTGGGGTGTTCGTTCAAGTGATCCGTACTTCCTCCTTCCGCCACATTCATCCGACCATCCCAACTACACGGCCAATCGCTCGCGATGATATGTAAGGGCCCTACGGGGAGGATCGTGGGAAGACGAAGAGGCATGCAGAAAGGGAGCGCGTTTCAAGAAAGGGAGATGACGAGGAGATGCAAAGCGAGGGAACGGGATTACACGGTGTGCAAGAAATTTGAAAAACAGCCACGCGGATGAAGAAATTAAAATTTCTGCTCACACTCATTCACTACCGTTTCTTGGATTTCTCAACGTGGTCGCTAACTATCTGTGCGGAAAAGTCATCAGCGGAAGTTCTGAAAAATACAAGTTCTTGTTCCTTCCCCCCTTCCCAAAGGAAGAACTTCAAGAAGAAAAAGAAAGAGAAAAGAAAAGTACACCCCGCTTTCCTCGATCAACCAAAATGGCAGAATCCGTACTTAGAGGCTTGCTTGGGATTTTCCCTTAAGGATACAGAAACTTGCTGAGTCTGGATCCTGGCTTATCAAAGGCACCCCCCACCCCATTGTCGTTGGAATTGGACTAAAAAATGATGATTGTGCTGGCCCACTTGCAACCTGGCCTAGCAGGGGACGAGTAGGACTCTTCCTGTTGGTGTTGTGGCATGCTTGCGTACGTGGCCGATGTTGGAGGTGAGAACACATTCTGGGTGGCCCACTGCAGAAGCGCCTTAAAAGTAGGCGAAGGGGGGAGACGACAGGGCAAAAAAGAGACCCGCAGACGACCGCTGCACCCACCTGCCCCTGCTCCACCTGATGAGATAAATGGTACACTTCTCTGCTTGCGGATTCCGTGAGGTTGTGCTCCATATCTGCTTACCGCGTGCAATAACAAGATGGAGAACAGTTGCTGCCATTGTGTACTCCACGTATAGCAGCTAGAGAATGAATACAACGAGCCATGCATCCGCTGTCATATGCCAATGTCTTTGATACACGGACAGAAAAACGAAAGATGTCCACGTGCTGGCAGCACCGCTGCATTTCAAAATATTCGAAAACGTCAATACGCGCACACGACACGACAATTATGACTCGTTTTTCCCCAGTGGCATGTGGCACACAATGTCGCATGACATGACGGGACAACGTCGAGGTCTCTGGTGTCGCAGAGCCGGTACCACTAGGTTGCGAGGTCGCGCAGTCCTTTGTTGCACAGAGGTACCTTCCGATGAAGGGTGGGCATCGACGGCGACGACACATTTTTGCGGCAGCTTTGTCGGTAGGGGTAGGGGTCCTTAAGCTTTTCACAACGAGCCACGTACACCATCGTACACAAAACCCAAAAACATACCCCTAACAAAGCGGCACGACCTGTGACTTCAGGAAGTGGTGGGGTCCGCGTTTTTCACCAAACCAACCTAACTCATGTATTGTCGGATCAGAAGCTTAGAGGTGGACCCCACTGGCCGGCGGCTTGGAAAAAAAAAGGCGCTCGATCGTTTTGGAGACCCCACTGGTCATGGAAAGAGGTGTGGAAAGCCTCTTTGGAAAGGTTTTCCAGACCCGGCCGCTGATGGAAACGGGTTGCCGAAATGCTGACGAGGCATTTCTACATGGTCGGCGGTCTGGAAAATCGCCACCGAGTTGCAGTATTCCTTTTCCAAACACGACCCCTAGCAGAGCAGGGGGGGGGGCATGATCTCCGATGGCGTCGGAAGACCAGAGGGCGTGGTCCAGGCAGCGGTGGAGGCGACCGTTTTCTCGACCAGCATGCCGCTACGGACAACCGGTTTGTTGTTGTACGGTATGCACATGGGCCTGTGGGGAGAGGCTGGTTGCGTCCCCCTTTTTTCAAACGCCCCTGAAGCAATGGACAAAATTTCGAATTCAATTTTTTTTGCAAAAGTGACCTTCGTCCCTCTGTGTGCATGAATCCCATATTGCATTGATGCTTCAACACACCGGCATCGACATCATGTTCTCTGTCCGCAGTTGTGGTGACGTGCGTGCTGCGATGCCATCACTGATGTCATTCGCACGTGCAGGGCTTGAGGCTATATTGCACGCTGGCCGCGGCCGAGTTCGGCCTAGGCCGCGGCCGACGGCCTAGGCCGGGACCCCCCCGGCCACGGACGGCCCGACCGAGTTTTTTCGGCCTCGGTGTCGGCCGATCTGGGGGGCCGTTTTCGAAGCTGGGAGCGGGTTTGGGG